CCGACGGCGCCGCACTCTTCACCGGCGACACGATGTTCGTTGGCGGCATTGGCGCCTTCTTCGAGGGCGACGCCACGCTGATGTGCCGCGCGCTGCGCAAGGTGTACGACCTGAACGGCCCCCCATCGTCATCCGTCGCCGTCGCCGCTGCTGCTGCTGCGGTGGAGGAGGCGGACCGCCGCACATTTGTGTTCCCCGGCCACGAGTACACCGTCAACTTCCTCCGCTTCGCCAGCGCGACGCTCCCGGCCAGCCACCCTGACGCCGGGTTCGTTGCGGCGCAGCTGCAGCGGTACAGCCGCAGCGTCGCCGACCACACGCCGACGGTGCCGAGCACACTCGCGGAGGAGAAGCGGCAGAACCTGTTTCTCCGCACCTGCGACAAGGCCTTTGTGCGGGACATGCATCACGGCGACACCGCGGAGGCGCTGATGCAGTACCTCTACGACACCTGCCCGTGAGCCCATGAGAGAGCGTGAAAGGCAGCAGCCACAAGGAAGCGAAGAGGGATGCATAGGGACGAGTGGGGGAAGGGAGTTGGTTTGCTTAGCGTCTTACTAATGAGCGGCAGGTGTTTTGTGTTCTTTTCCGGCTTCGTTCATTCGATGGTGGTAAAGAGAAGAATCGTGCTTTCTCGCTTACTTCACGCCCTTCACTGTTCAATGTGTGGCCTGGTGCCGTTTTGATGGGGGTTTCGTTGGTGTTACTTCTTGGTGCTCTGCTTTCTCTCTCTCTCTCTCTCTCTCTCTCTCTCCATCCCCCCTCGCTCACACATGCACGTGCCCACACAGATCAGAGCAGCAGGAGGGGAAAAGCAGCTGGACGGGATGTCGCAGGTGCTTGAGCGGCTGCTTCCGGCGCTGCTGCGGCACCTCTCCGGCGGCACAGTCGACTGTGATGACGACGATGACGATGTAGTGGAGGTCGTCGACGCCAAGCAGGAGGCACATGCGCTGCCGCCACGCTGGGGCTATAATAAATGCACCAGCAGCCGAAGCAGCGGCAGCAAAACTAGTAGCACTCGTCGGTGGCGGCGCTGTGTTGAACTGTGGCGTCACCTGCTGGGGTCAGACCGTCTCTTTCTCGCGCTGCTCTTTCACAGCGGCTCCCTCTGGGCGGAGGAATGGCCCCCGCCGTCTGCAGCAGAAGCACCGGCAGCAACAGGAACAACAACGACAACTTCCGGGACGAAGCGGCTCTCGTGGTCAGAGTCTGTCATGTGGTTCCTGCAGATCCGAGAGGAGACAGCCGCGCCTGCTCGCAACAGCCGCGATGGCAGCAGCAGCAGCAACAACAACAACAACACCAACGCCAGCAAAAACAGCGAAGGAAAAAGTGGAGGCGGGGAGAAAGGCGCGAGGGTGGTCTCCAAGGAGGAGCCCTGCTGCGCACCCCACATGCACGACGAGGACGAGGTGGCGGTTCAACGCGCCGCGACAGGGCTGCTGAGCGAGTGGTTCGCTACCGTTGACCGCTGTGGAAGCCGCTTCGCACGCGCGTACTACTTCTCATGCGCGCTGAAGATTGCACTGCTCGTCGGCAACACCACGCTTGTTGAGGACATTCCGCACCTGCACGACCTTGTGGCGAAGGAGCCGCGGTCCTCCTCGCAGTTCACCGCCTTCTGTAGCATCTTGTGCTGCCTGCTCGTGGAGGAGGCACAGCAGCAGCGGCCGTTCCGCCTGCGGCTTCCACCTCCGTTCTTCCTGTTGAACTTTAACAACATTGGCCGGGGCTCCCGTATCGGCGTGTGGCTGCCGCGTAAGTGCGCTGCTACCACCAGCAATGGTGCCACTGGCGGCACTCCGAAGGACGGCGAGTTCCACTCGTGCGAGGTGTGCTCGCCGGGCGTCATGTTGCACGTGCCTTCGCCTTTGGTGGATTCTGCTGCTCCTGCCAAGGCGGCAGGGGACCTCCTCCTCGGCGTGTGCCTGCTCGACGAGGCGTACGTGCAGACAATTAACGTGCTGCCAGTCATGCATGACGCGCGTGGGGCACGAAATCTGCCCAGCAGCAAGGAGGAGAGGCGGGGTAGAGGCAGGCGACAAGCAGCAGCTGAGGCTGCGTCTGGCGCTGTTGATTCAACTAGTGTTATGGGGCTGTCGACGCCGCGGTGGTGGAGTGCCTTCTCTCCGGCAACGCACAGTTTCGTGCGCGTCGACATCCTCCACCCGCGCGCTCTCTGTGCCATTGTACCATCCTCTGCGCCCTCCTCCACTGGTGGCGGTGGTGGAAGGCGACGGGGACAACAACAACACCAGCAGCAGCAGCAGCAGCTAGAGGCGCCTATATTTACGGTTCCATTGCGGCGAACGTTGCGTTCAACGGCCCAGCGGGACCACCTCGCAACGACCGCGTTTGCGCTTGCCACGACAGCGCGTCGTCTTCTGGGATGCAGGGGCGTTTTTATACAGCAGCAGCAACAACCGCCATTGGCGGCTACCACCGAAGCCACCACCGGTGGGGCAGTGCAGAGAATGGGCAAGGGTAAGGTCGTGGCTGGGGCTCCCGAAACGAAGACAACGCGGCGCCTGGCGTACGACGCCGGTGGCAGTAGCTGCGGTAATCCCGCCACTACTGCCGCCTTCTCCAGCGCCGAGGAGGAGCTGGAGTGCCTTGTCGAGTGCGCCCTTCACTTACTCCTTGAGGCACTGCTACTGTGCACTGCGCTGTCGAGTGAACTGCTGCCGCAGGTGGATGCATGGGCGGTGGAGGTGACGTCCAACGCGGTTGATCTCGCACTCGCAACGCCGCACCCTGTCGTGCGGCACATGCACGCCGTTGGGTACGCCCTCTGCATCGCCCCACAGCCGTCTCAGTCACTTCTGGTAGCGGTGGGCCTCTTCGCCACACTAGCGCAGCGCCAGCGCGACGGAAGTAGTGGCGATCACGGTAACAGCAGCAGCAGCACTGGAACTGGTTGGTGGGAAGTGTTCAAGGCGTGTGTGCTGAAGGATGCTGTTATACCGGGTCAACTCTGCGGCGACACGTGGGAGCTTGTCGAGCGTGTCGAGCGTTCCCTCCGCGCTACTCTCCACGTCCGTATCCAAAGACAGAAACAACAACAGCAGAAGCAGGAGAAGCAGCAGCAGCAGCAGCACGCCCTTGCTGGGGAGACTGACGCTGAGGGGGTGGTTGCGGCTGATACAGTGCAGGACTCTGCGCCTGCGCCAGCGGACGACGTGCCGCGTCGACGCCTCG